GGTATGGGGACGATCATCTCGTCGTCAGGGAGTTGCGTTTGGGTAGGGAACTTTCCGCTACTGCTGGTGTCCAGCCAGAGAGTGAGAGACCCACGAGACGGGCGATAGCTCTGTTACGAAGGCGCTTGTTACTCAGTCTGACCGACCAATGTTTACTTTTTTTTGGCCCACTGTTTGTGGTTTCGAGTCTTGTGTGTTATGCCCCGCTTCCGTCGGCTCCCCCCAAAAATACAGGTAGAACTTTTACGGGGTCGTATTTTAGTGTACATAGGTACTCTGTTAATCTTTTTAGGCCTTTTAACGGAGCTTGGATCTTACTTAACCCCCTCAAAAGATGCTTTTGTCATACGTAGTTTTCGCATTCGCCTGACTGTTCGGACGCGGGCGTCTCCCACTTTTCTGGACAAAAAACAGAGCAATAACGCAGAATACTGTCGGCGCGTCCCCATCCGACTTCTCCCCGAATGAATGGATACCGGGGTCACCAGGCTTTGGCTTGGCGACGGAGACCGACCCGAACTGGGGAAGCGGGGCACGTCCGACTTGAGCAACGCACAGCCAGCAGCAGCAACAGCAGGCTCACTCCCGCACGTGGTGCTCACGTGGTCCACGACGTGAGATGGTGGAGATGCGGGGAGGTTGCGTCACCGCCAGCTGGTCCAGGTCCAGCAGGTCCAGCCCGCGGCCGCGCCGGGCGGTGCAGCGGCCAAGCCGGTGGCGACAAAGAGAGGGTTGTTCTTGTCCTGCAGGCGCGGGCAGGTGTCTTACGACGTGCCCTCGGGCCAGGTGGTGTTGTTGTCCTGCTCCGCGCGGCTCTCACCAACCAGGCTGAGCCCAGCAGCCCCCACCAATCCCACCATGCAGATCATCGCCCCCCTTGCGATCGCTGAACCCCTCCCCCTGGATGGAAAGGAGAGCTGCTGCTGCGGGCTGCTGCCGTCACTGCAGTCCCGGCGAACCCTTTCTCTTTTCGGAAACGAAACCGATTAGTAGTTTGCACCGACCGGCGGCGTTGTTGTCGCCTGAGAAAAGTATTCCCCCCCCCCTCCCTCTCTCTTTCTGCCTCGCCTTGATGAGTCTCGAATGAGAGACTCGCGACGCTATTAAACGAGCCCGTCATCGCGAAGGGGCTGGGAGTGGGGCGGGCGCCGCCGCCGTCCTCCCCCAGCTCGCTCGCCCGGCCCGGCCCGCGCGACGGCGTCCCGCTACGCTGCCGCCGTGACCGTGAGCCACATTTCCTTCATCTCTTCTCGCTGCTGCTCCCGCTGCTGCTTCCACCGCCGCGTGCGAATTTACGATGGATGCCGGCTCATCTGCTGCTCCCGCACAGGGCGGTGGGGCGGCGGCGCGTGGGCCGACATCTTTGTGCCAGCGCGATAGAGTGTGAGTCTCCTCTTGTGTGGTGTGACGGTGATCACACTCGTGTTTTCTCTACCCTATACCCGCCTCCTCTGCCGCCCCTTCCCTGTGAGTGCTGTAACACCTCCACATGCCCCGCGCCGTCGTATCCCGCACAGCATCATCACACCCGCTTTAGCCCATGTCGCGAGGGACTCGACTGGGACGAGCAGCAGCAGCAGCAGTAGCGGGAACACGTCCGCGGGAGATGCGAAGCACGTAGCATGAAGTGCAGCAGCTCAGCAAACGGTGCTGCTCGCGCTCGTCGCGGCTCCCCCGGCGAGGCGTCGCGACGCTAGAAAGTTGTAAAAAGTGCAAGAGTGTCACGTATGGTGTGATACCGGCGGGCGGTACGCCGGGCACGCGCCTCTCCGGTGGTGAGCAGACTCGTCGTCCTCCTCCTCTCCTCCTCCGCCCTGCAGACCATCATCACTGCTACTGCTGCTTTCTCGCCCCGGCGCGACCGTCGCGAAACGCAACAAGTATATTCTTAGAAATCGTACAGTAATGTTAGCGAGCAGCAAGTGGGCGCCGTTTATATATACGAGCTTTCGCAGACTGTTTGTAGTGAATGTAGTCGAGTGAGCGGGTGCCGGTGCCGTGCCTCATCGCCGTGCGGATAGGCAGCCCGCCCGCACGGCTGCCGTGCGGTACAGTCCGCATCGACAAGGATGAGGGAGGGGAGAGGAATAAGGGTCGAGAGAGTGTGTCTGTGAGAGAGAGAGCGGGAGGGAGGGAGGGAGGGAGGGAAAGAGAGAGAGAGAGAGAGAGAGAGAGAGAGAGAGACGCGTCTAGCCTCATTGCCTGTACGATATGATCCGCGGGCGTCGACCGTCGCGACGTCGCGGTCCGCGGCCCCAGTAGCCGCATCGGGCGCAGCGGAACGGAGGGGCATCGTCGCGACGCGTCAAACCATAAGCAGCAAGGGGCAGCGGCAGCGAGCAAAACGGCAGATAGGCGGGGAGCCTAGGAGGCCCGCGGCCGCCGTGTCGCGCAACGAGCAATTGTGCGATGGCTTTAGCGACACACAGCAATAAGGAAATGGCCCGCGGCGGCCGGGGCCGGGGGGGCAGCGCCGCCTTAGCCACTTAGGCCGCGACCTCCTTATTGTCCTGCTTTGCTCGGGGCCGCTTACCGAACAGTGTGGCCAACTTTGTGCGGCGGATGCAGCCAGCTGGGCCGGACACGAGGAGGTCCGTCATCGATGCCGTACTGACCATACGCAGCAGAGGTGTTTATTTTTCGTTTGCCCGCCATTTTGGTTACCAGAAAATGAAGGAACTGACTGAGACCCTCCATACGTTTTGTATAGGTAGGTCGGTTTAGGTCTAGATACAAAGGTCTGTCAACAAAATTTGGTACATCGTCGGCGTCTCCTGGAATTTTTTAAAAAACAAAACAAAAAAACCTCAAAACTAGTAAGCAAAATGGCCGCCGAAACCGCATCTCCCCCATAATCCTTACTCATCCCGCGTAAACAGCAGAAGAAGATGCAGGTGTAGAAGTGCTTTAAACCGCGTAGCGGCCCCAGAGGGATGTGAAAACATGGCACATGGAAATCCGTACAGGTGGAGGAGGACGTCCTTTGAGGAACCGCCTGCCTTGCTCCATGCCTGCTGCAGTGCGGTATGGCGGGGCCGGGCGCTCGCGGCGCGAGGTGTGCCTTACCGGCCGCCGGGGGGCGTGCCGCCGCCACACCACGCTACGGCACGCCGCCCCCCACGGCACGCCGAGCACCGCGGCCTTGGAGTGGGCCACGCTACGCCATGCCACGCCACGACGGCGCGGAGCGAATTAGCGGCGTTGTTTTTGCATGTCTCTTTGTCCAGGCGAGTGTAACAGCACCACGGTGGCGCCTCCGGCTCGGGTGGAGGGCGGAGGTCAAGGTGGGCACGACCCAGCGCACGACACGTGCCCAGCGAGCCGTGTCCAGCGCCGCCTGTTGTAGGGTCATCTTCACCATACCCACCCGCGGCCCCACCCCCGCTCCACCCGCGAGTGATAAGAACGCCGGCGGAATACACATCTGGCCGAATCGCCCCCAGAGACTATGCGACGCGGCGGCTGTACAACTCTGAGTAAACACGGGCTCGTTAGCCTGGCGCTGCTACTGCTGCTGCTGCTGCTCGGGGAGCCACAA